TTAAAGGACCTATAAATATCAAGAGCAAAACCAACAACATGTGATAATATCAGTCACCACTTGTCCAAAACAATATTTTTATGAACTACAAATGTCAGCTGAGCATGTTGACAGGAAGTGAGTGATATGGTAATTTACAGGGTGTCATGAGGCACACAGAGCATATAGAGCAGATCAAAATCACCAATGACTACAGAAGGAAACTCATTTTTCATGTTTGTCACACGTTCGTGAACTAATCATTCACACATGAAGACAACCAAAACATCTGAACTCATAGTCTGTATGTATGCCCACCAAATACACATTGCTGTATTTTTTTAATAAAGCTTGCATTATATACAAGACCAGCGTTAGAAATTGGCACTAGTCCTGTAGTGCTTGCCAAACTGCCCAATAGTTAAGGTATCATAAGGACTAGTAGAAATTTGCCATTTTTAAGGGTTTTATGGGTTATCATTATAAGGACTAGTGGACTAAATATGTTAGTTTCTACCCCTGCAAGACAATAGGACAATACATCACTCAGATGTATGTATCAAACAGTAAATGTTACTTGGTAAATAGCAGAGTTAAAGAAGATAAAAAGACCCAATCATGTCTTATCTCTCTAAATGTATTATTCAGACAGAAACTGAAAAAGGTTATTTGTACTCACTTGCATGGACAAATGGAGTATATTTTTTCAAATATGGCCAATAAATATAATTTCCAATGAGCTGTTGACCCATAATGAGAGATTTCCTTCCCAATCATTGATTTAGTATATGCACCCATTGCATACAGTTTATAAGTCCTACACACCTATATTTCAATCTGGCAGTACCATTCTAGCCCTTTGGTTTTTCATATGGTTCACATAAAAACTACTAATGGGCCATTAATGAGTCCATTCCAGTTCTAAAATAAGTCATTCAATGAACATTGAGAGTATGCAGAAAGTCATGCTCCAAATGTTATCACTGGGATAGGTTTATTTACCATTGATAGCCATTAGGTCACAGTATGTATACCTAAACATGCCACATGCTGTAAGAATACAATACTCACTAAGCATAATAATTAGGCCAACACATGTTCATGTGCATCATAATACTTTATGCAATAATTCAAATATTGTAATTGTGAGGTCATGTATCAATACATAATAGCGATTATGAATAGCTTGATAATACTGGTAGCTGTCATGTATACAGTATGGTGCCGACAAACTTTGGAACATAATCAGGGCCTACCAGGATTTGAACCCATGATTAAAGGTTTCTGGCACACCAAAGGGACACACAGAGCTCCAGATAAGCTTTTGGTGTTGTGGGTATTTTACCCATGCATTTTTAAATCATTGGGTATCAGTTATTTTATCTGCGTATTCAAATTTCTGTTACCCACTTGTTTTTACACATGTGGGTATTTAAGTTAAATATCTAAAAACACTATTCATCTAGTCCCTGCAAACTGGTGTCGTGTGGGTTCGAGAGCTTTATAGGACTCAAAAATACCACGATACTTCCACAAGAAAGTGTGATGGCAAATGATCATGATGTAACTGTCATCGTGGAGTTTGGCAAGGTTGACGGAATGCCCGTTTATAATTTCAAAATAAGTTGCTGATTTGCTAATCGAATACGCAGGGTTACTTCACAATATTTTGATGATACGCACAAGTTTTATTTTTGTAGCGTATCTGTAATGTTCGTTGCGTATTTGATACGCTTGGATTATATTTTACTGCGTATTTCTGCATTTCTGATGCGTATTTCACGCAGATACGCAGCTTATCTGGAGCTCTGGACACATTACTGCACAGTGACTTGCAGCATTTGAGACAACTAGGCAACCCATGTCCCCACTGACTGTCAAAGACTATTCTTTGACTGTGCGTAAACTGTGTTGTCTCCCCATTTTTAGTTTAACTGAGTACATCTTATGTAAAGAGATGCAAGATATATATTTTTGTGAGGGTAAGGGCTGTTGTTAATCAGGAATGGTGGGGTTGACGAGAAAAAACATGATTTCACTACCAAACAGGTAAAAAAATGCCCAGCAACCAGAAACACTAAAATAAACGCAAGTTTTAAATTCAAACCAGGAAGGTGTTAAAAGTACATTAAAACCTACATGATCCCTGGTCTGTGTATACAACACGACGCTTACAGTAAAGGAAAGATAACTCTAACTGAAGAATGTGTAAACTTAGGAATGGCTGGATTCGGAACTGGGAAAAAAACCATTGGCCTGCTAGGTTTAAATGACCTGCACGTCATTGAGAAAGATTTCTTCTTCCATTTTTGGGCCTTAGGCATCACAACAAGATGTATAATTCCACTTGAACATGAACACCAGCTTGTATCCAAGTCAAAATTCTTGTGTTATCAATATCAAAGTTTTTAATATTTGTAATTACTGGCAACATCCAGAGCATCTTTATCAATATTCATTTGCCTCCTGGTGTCATGCATCTTCGGACATTGTACAAATCCATGCTAGTAGTTCAGGATATGCGTGCGATTTTATCAGTTTTGGAAATAGATCAGACTTAATTATCTTACGTCCATTAGCTTCAAGTTTGGAAACCAAGTTTTGCCTGCCGAATTCAACACAAAACACAAACTTCCTGTTATCAAAGAACATCAGAGTGCTCTGTTCTATATAATAACCAAAGGAAACCTCATATACTGTCAGAACAAACTAATATCCTGTTCAAAGACTCATTTGGAAACCTAAAAAAAATATTGCGTGTATTTAGAGGAGGATTATCAGACACTATGAAGAGTTTTATCAGCAAATACATGCAACTGCCTGGAGCAGTGAAGAGCGAGGGTTCACAAGTCCCACAAGGAGACTCCAACACCATGCTTCCCAACAACAAACTCTGCCTATGGAAATGCCAAAATGGCACTGGGGTAAACAGAGCCTGGCAGGAGAATAGTTATGCGTCATTATAATCCTCAACAGACTATTGACAGCGGGATGGAAATTGATTGGGGATAATTGGTGAGCCTGGCTGGAAAAACTGTGGGCGAGTGAGGGAAATGCAAACAGATGGTTGGGCTTTGTTGCATCATTATGATCAACACTGACTGTGGGAGATTTGCTAACATCAATCTGAGAGCAACCAGTCCAGCATGTTTCTATATGTCAACTGTTCTCGTTCAAGCCATTAGGATTTATCTTTTCATCTCATGCCACATAATAGAAAAGTGAACACATAATAGAATACATCATGAAAGCTGTTGTAACGAGTTGGTTTAGTTGTGTTTGTTTGTAACTCAACTGCATGGGCCTACAGCGTTACTGGCCCGGTACTACAGGGACTTGGGTGTAATGTTATTGATTAAATACAAATGAGGATGTATCGTTTGAAAATTTGGTTTCGTCAGATAAAAATATGTTTTTATTGTCAGAGCCGTGTTTAGCGTTGGCGTAATAAAAAAAAAGAAGCCTTGTCATTCTGATCGTATCAAATCAGAAATACCTGTGTCATCGGCATGTACTGCATCCATGGATGAAGTCTTTTGACAAATATGTTTATGCAAGTTAATTTAAAGTAAATGGGTTTTGAATAGTTTTGGGGGGGATTTTACGCAAATACGCTGCTTATCTGTAGGTCTGACTTAATATTTCAATTGAATAACATATCAAAAGTTTACCATATTAACTGGCTGGCAGATATTGTTTCTTTTGATTATTACTATTGCTAATGTACATGTAAGAGCCAAGTTTGGGCTCGTAGACTGAGATTTGTGATTTTAGCACAGACAGTGAAATGTGTATGGATTCTCAAACCAACGAGATGGGAGCTTTCTAAAACAATTTGGCTTAATTTCTCTCACCTTGATTCAGAAATTTTGACTACCGTATTCAGCATGTTAAGTGTCCTGTCCCTCTAAGCACCCCCTGACAAACTTCTAGACCTATCTGTAAATAATCTTTAAAATCATCCCTTACTAAGACTGAAAATTTGCATGACAATCCATATTCTCTTGCACAAATGACAAGATTTACTTTTTATAGAAAAGAGCACCATAGAAGACGCTCATAACTATATTATTGAAAAGGTTTTAGTTTCATCCAATGATTTTAATCAGCGCCTGCCTGTAGACCCTTCAATGACAATGCACTCATCAATTTTTTAAGTGCCAGTACAGACAATGCGGCATAACAAAGAAAACCCACATGATAGGACACTTCACTCACTTGTACCAAAAATTTAGAAGCCCCCACGCTGATGGGCTGATTAGATAGTTCAGCTGATGCGACCTCGAAAGTTTGCTGCTATAGTATTTGAATTTAGGACCTCTTATATATAATTCCCTTTTACTTAATTTCCTAATAATTTACATTGGGGTCATGACAAGGACCCTGTGATTTGTATGCACAATTTTCAACACTTATTCCATCCTCTGTCATGATTACAACTAATCTAGAAGTTGAAGATCACTTTACATGTCTAAAAGTACAGATTCTCGCACTTTTTGGGTTGTCCCATCCGGGATTCGAACCCAAACTGTCAGAGTGAGGCACCTAATCGCCAGCACACAAAGTCAGCGATCTAACCCCCAAAATGGCATTATGTGTTCATAGCTTTCGGCCATGGGAGCCCTGCCAATTTACACTTGTCAGAGGGGTACACAAAATATGTGACCTAGACTACCAGTTGTCAGACTTTCATTTAGTGGAAGCTTCGGTGGCTGAGTGGGTTAGATCACTGACTTTGTGTGCTTGCTATTAGGTGCCTCCCTCTGGCAGTATGGGTTCGAATCCCGGATGGGACTCAACCCAAAAAGTACGAAAACCCGTACTTTACTAAGAAAGTGTTATACCAAACATAACATTTGTTACGTTTGACAACTTTCTAAATGGCATTGTTTGCTCATTGTTATGTTATCTCATAGTCACAGAAAGGCAACTAACAGCAAAACTACCCCAAAACAACTTCGTTATTCAGATGGCCCTTTTCGTAAAGATGAATTCTGGAGGTATGGTGGAAAAACACTTACCCTTAGAGCTGCAATGGTAACATCTCGAGCTTGAAGTTCCCCTTCGAAGTAGCTCAATAGCCGCAACAAATCATTTTTACTCCAGTCAGGATTGGGTTGTCTCTGGAAAGGGATAGTAAATATTTACTATTGACATCCATGAGAAGGCAGTAAATCTTTCACTCCTGCCAAGTGCTGTTGGGCAGACAATTTGACCTAAGTAAATCAAGAGCAACAAAGCATGTCTCAGGCAAGAGTATCACTGTTAACAAAAATATTGAAATATTGTTCAAGTTAATAATTAACTTGGATGCAAAATAAGTTTGTGTTTGTTCATTTTGTCATCTTCAGATTCATCTTATCATGTGTTAGCTGAGAGAGAGAATGAGTGTTTTAAGCCTTTAAGCAATATTCCAGCAATATTCTGACAGGGGACACCAGAAATAGGCTTCACACATCGTTCCCTTGTGGGGATTCGAACCCAGGGCTTCGGCATCACGAGAGAACACTTTACCACTAGACTACCTCAACGCCCAGGTTTGTCTAGAAATTGGTCAGGGAGAGCTTATTGGAGCAGGGTGCATAATACAACAAATACGGTATATACATCAACTGTCAACGGATGAGATTCACATGAAGCATGAAAGTTTGGTAGGACTGTGTATTCTGTTTATGGTGTACTTCATCAAGAAAAGAAAGAAAGCAACACATAGTGATTTTCTTCATGCTTGCCGTAAGAGGCAACTAACAGTAACAGGATCGGGTAGTCAGGCTCACTGACTTGGTTGATGCATGTCATCGTATCCCAATTGCGTGGATTGATGCTCCATCTTCAGTGTGAACAGAGACATATTTTGAACAGTCACTTGCCAAAGGAGACACCTGTGCTACATGGTAATATTCACTATACATGGGGATAACAAACTGATGTCCATGATGCGAGGCAGGGTGTTTGTAAAAAAAATCACTTATAATGGCCACATTGCAACTTTTTTTTGTTAATGCCATTGCTCCCCGTTGTCAATGTGTCATACATTTTACACTTGATTTTCCAATAAGCTCAACAAGAATAGCCCCAAAACTAGTGATGCCGCATATCGTAAATATTCACTCATGCATGCTTGCTTAGCACATAAACAGTGACAAGCAGGGTATGTACTTGCATCATTTCGGTCAGTAAACAAGGGAACAAGAACACCATTACCATTGTTGATTCTCAACCACCTGCTTGCCCATCATAATATTAACAGTTAGTAAAAACATTTTGTAGAATGTTATTGCCATACTGACTTTAGCCACCAACCCATAGCCCGGGTCTTGTCAAAATTGTTTCAGTGTAGCAGGGTCTCAGATTGGTTCCTTTTCAAGGACATTGACTTATTGGCATCCAAAATTTTTATAAAGATATCTCAAAATTTAGTAAACATATCCATTTAGAAGAATGGCCTTCATGTCCTATTAAGTTCATAAAATTATGAAAAATGGCCTAATGTATTATCTTGTAAGCTAATGAAGTGCATACATAAATATCATGTATATAATACTAAATAAATATTTATTTAAAACCTAAAATCTACTGGAAATGATGTCAAGCAACAAGTCCCAGCTAGCAGAGTCTGTTGACACGGACGGTGGTGTAACCTAGTTGTAAAAGCGTTCACTCGTCACACCCTGTTATTGCTGGAATATTGATAAATGCGGCATAAGACCATACTCACTCACTCAAATGACAGACTGCAGAACCAGTTCATTTTTTCCTACCCATCAGGCTAAGGACTTTTATTATTTTGATCAACATTGATCAACAGGGTAAATTTGGCTAACAATGAAAAAAGAGCCATATCAAGCTCTGTCAGACATTTAAGGAGTGATACAAAACTATGTAAAAGTTAGCATCCCCCTTGACCTACTTTGAGCATATAAAAAATCAAGTCATTGTTAAAAGAACAAACTTTTACTGACAACTTCTTTGTTATTTGTAATGGCTTATTCTCATGGCTACTTCTTGTGCCTTCATCATATAATATAAAAAAGTTCTAGTTATTGTTAATTGTCATGACATATTCTGGGATTATTTACCGAGTCGAAATGCATGACTGGCAAAAGTCACATGACATAGATCTGGTTAGAATCATGATAGTTGGTCAAGTTTCAAATGATGTTAACCAAGGCTAATCGATGTTGATGGAATAGGCTTTCAAAATCATATTTTGATAAACAACACAAACCAGGGTTGTGGTTTACTTCAGGAGGCAGAAAAAAAGGCATCGCTAATAGAAACATAATTGATTACCGGTATACATATAAAGACATTCATCATGTTGAGCATGTGCAAATTGATGGCAGTCATGGCATGTTATGCAAGTTATGGTAAATATGGGCCATTGTTGTATATCATAAGGCCATAAAATAATGTGTCAAAATGTTGTTAATAAAAAGGAGTGAGTGAGTGAGTGAGTGAGTGAGTGAGTGAGTGAGTGAGTGAGTGAGTGAGTGAGTGAGTGCGTGAGTGAGTGAGTGAGAGTATGGTTTTATGCAGCTTTTAGCAATATTCCAGCAATATCACGGCGGGGGACACCGGAAATGGGCTTCACATATTGTACCCATGTCGGGAATCGAAACTTGTCTTCGGCGTGACGAGCGAAAGTTTTAACCACCAGGCTACCCCACCGCCCCTCCATGGGCATTGTCAATTTGTGAGCACAGTGTTAGTGGTCACTGGACAGCTTCTTAAGATGATGATCCTTGTCAAAATTGGGATATCTAAAATTATAAATAACATCCAACCTCTTAAAACAGCAGTGGCAAGACTCTCACTATGGCCACTAGACTTTTTTGATGATATTATAGGGAATCTTAAAAGGATCACCTTAACATTGTCAACTAGTCGCCATTTTGTTTCTGGCTGCAGAGTGAGTGAATTTGGTTTTATGTTGCTTTGAGCAATATTCCAGAATTTAACGTGGGTCTAGTGAGTGAATGCTTTAACCACTTGCCTAACCTACAATCCCTTCTGGTTATTATGGAACTACTTCTGGTTATAAATCCTTAGTCCCTGTAAACATATTATGCCAACCTTTATATCATGCAATGTTTGAAATTGACAAAGTCTGCTAGCATGACTAGTCTGAGACTAGTATTATAAATTCCAATACACATGTATATCATTGTGTATACCAGTACAAACAGCAGGGTTAGACAATGTCACAAATTCGGTTGTATTAACACAAGTTTGCAAACATGACCTAGCACAGTCACAATCTGCTTAATAGTAATAGTGGTAGTCCACAAGGAAATGTCACTAGCCCTTTAACTTTACAATATACCTGTGAAATTTCTGTGTGAACTACCCCTAATACTATTATGTAGATGGCAACTCTGTGGCAAGTCATGTTTGCAGACTTGTGAAAATGAAACTTAACTTCTAACCCTGTCAAGTGTACCAGTATATACAATGTTATATGGAATGCATACTATGTTCGACAAAAACATTCATTCTGCTGCCATTTCAAAAAAGTTATTATGCTAGATCGAAACACATATATTTCATTAATGTAGTTTTACATGTTCAGCAGTATGAAAAAGGTACATGATAAAGTGAACATCATGAAAGTGTTAAAAAAAAACAGAAAAATATAACTCCAATTAAAAATTCAAGATCATGGCATAAACAATTTCAGTTACTGTATTCGACGTAATAAGCGCCCCGCTCCAATAAGCGCCCACGGTGATATTTCCTAATATATAGGCTAGTAAACAATCCCAATCAGCACCCCTTCCGATTGATCAATGTACACAAGACTTTTTTTATTCGTGTATAATACGCACTCGTGTGTTATATCACCCTTAATAATGGGCAATTAAATTCTTGAAAAATATATCTGTCGTATGTAAACACTTCAGGCTGTTAGCATAAACCACGAAATTTACGATCTTTCAACTCAAAATAATATTCTAATAAGCGCCCCCTATTTCTAATTGTGAGAGCGCCCGGGGCGCTTATTACGTTGAATACGGTAATGCATGATTGGTGTGGATAAAACTTTACATTATTAGATGAGCATTTTTTACACAAATCTCAAAACAGAATATGGGTCACCATGGTCACTGTCAGACCAGTGTGTGAAATTGAGCATGCAATTTATAGGGCCCTTGTTAACTAGGGACATCTTGGTTTGATAAAGCATGAATCTGTTCGTCTTCCTAAAAGTGTTTTGTGTCCAGTTAACCTTTTTCTTTAAATCAAAATATTCAGAACGTGTGCAAGGTACAACAGTCTAAATCATGTAAATAGAACAATTCGCTCCACTGTAATTCCTTACTGACATTCACAAGAAGTATTTCCTGTTTCACATTGACTAATGTTTTGTTTCATGACTCATGAACGTTTTCAAACTGTGGATTCAGTCTCTTTTTAATCACTATTTTATGGTAACCCATGAAGATCCGGGTTAGAATAGGTCTTCAGCAACCTATACTTGCAGTAAAGGTGACTATGCATGTTGTAAAGGCGACTAACGGTTTTGGGTGGTCAGGCTCACTGACTTGGTTTATATGTCAATCAATGGATTGTCTGGCCCAGACTCAATTATTTACAGACAGCTCTCATATAGCTGTAATATTGCTGAGTGAGGTGTTAAACAACAAACAATTACAAACTATTTTACTATGAATACATCAGAATGTGACTATCACATCTTTTCATAGTTTCATAAACACAACAGCAAATGATTAACAGTCTGTAACAAAAATGTATTGTCTACTAAAACTTGGATGTAGAGTTTAGTGTTATTATATATATGGACTGTTTTTAGTTGAGTTTGCAAGAACGAACAGAGTATTACTGGACTTGTTGATTTGAACAATGGCTAATATCACAGACTCTAGTAAGCTTAGAGCCAAACAGATTATAAATTCATGGAACAGCCATCATGCAAATTTACAGCAAAGATTGCCATTAAAGAAAAAAGTGAAACGACACATAGTAGACTCTTGTGAATGCATAGATGGTTCCAAATATTCCACTTAATACATTTTGTTTTTCAAATTCTGTGTTGTCATTGAGGACTGTGTATTTCCTGGAATTTTGTAGTGCAATATATTGCAATAATTAGCATGATTAGGTCTGTTTTGTGATATGTATTGCAATACATTTCCATCTCCTATGTTATATACTGGCTCCGAAATCAGCGCTATATACTGCTCTTTTTTTTCCATCCAACATCACTAGTTGGCAATACATCACAATGATTTGTGCCTTCATAACATTCGACTCGAGTTGATTTTGCACCAGCTTTCACAAGCATTGTCAAATTAAAGAATATCATGGAAACTTTTTCTGGCTCTATTCAAAAGTTAATGGTTTGGGAACAAGGGGAAATAAAACAAAATCCTTTATACTACGTAATTTGCACTCTGCTGAGTTCATCGAGGCTGGTGCAAAAATAATTTGGTAGAATGCAGTGTTTCATATCAGTTCATTTTCTAGGCCACTGACAGATTGTCATCGAAAATGTCCTGAGATATTGTGAAATATTGGTACTTAACTAGAAGAACGTTCATTCAGAAATTTCTTAAATCATGACTTTGACAATGTTGTATTGATATTTGTGTCTACTAAAATGGAGGATGGAATCTTAGCTGTGTATTTGTGACCAGTGGATGTCTGAGGAAAGTGAATAGTATTTATACAGCAACAGAAACTAACAGGTTTAGTCCACTAGTCCTTATAATGATAACATATAGCAAAATCCGTAGAAATGTCAAATTTCTACTTGTCCATAGGATACCTTAACTATTGGGCAGTTTGGCAAGGACTACAGAACTAGTGAAAATTTCTAACGCTGTTGTTATAGTACAATTTCGCAGGAAGGGTAGGTTTATTGTTCAAATATCTTGTGTGCTAAACATTTGGACCCTCATAACTTCCAATTCCTGTGGATATGGTGGATGTATTTCATTTGTTATTCCTTGAAAGTGATCACTCCAGTTATCTACACCATCAGTACATGAAATCTGCTTTAATAAGTTAAAGTATCACAAATCTTTTTTTCTATCTCCAAATATGTTTAAATCACAGATCTCTGCATTTATTTTCTGTCGATGATTAGGAAAGTTCAACTTCACACAAATTTTAACAATGCATGCTCTACCACGTTCAATCTACAGATGAAGAGGGGCGTCTAACATCAACTAAAGATTATAATACTTCACATATTACAATATAAAGAGCATCTTTAATGTCATTTAGAACATTGCCAGTCACTGTCTCAAATGTAAATCCGCGTTTTATTTTTTTTGTCAAACGACGAACTTCCAACCTCACGTCTCATTCTCGGGTCCAGCACCTGCAACGATTCCACATCCAACAAATACGGTATAGGAACTACGTATAATTGTTGAAGTGGCAAGCGTGCGTGTCTATTCATAAAACAAAACAGCAGAAAGTCTTTCTTTATCCTACCTTTAACGTATTAGACTGAAGTTTGTCTGAAGGATCAAGCCCAGAAATCGGGTTGACGTTTCGAGACGCCATCTTGGAACAATAAGCTTGTCAAAGAAATGGATCTTTTTTGATCACCAGTGAAAATCACCACATTTCTTCTTCATGGTTACTTAAATGACTTCAATGACCGCCACAGTTATTGCACGACGCCAAAAACACATGGCAAGGAAAGCACGGAGCCCGTAAATGGTATCACATTATTGTTCTGCCACAAGATCTCTCGTCCATCATTGGTCACGTGACCAATATTGATGCATTAAATACGAAACAATGGAATGAACTGCAGGCTTTCATAAAGTGACGCTAATGTTTGTGAAATGTACATGTTTGAGTCGGAAGGCCTCTTTTTTCAAGATGTGTTACTTTAGGCTGCATAAACAACGAGATTAAATCACGCACGGAGCTACCGAATAGTCTATCCCGCAGTTGCGTACAAATATTAAACACATCCTCTCTCTCTCTCTCTCTCTCTCTCTCTCTCTCCCTCTCTCTCTCACAGACAGACAGACAGACACACGTTAAATTTAGGTACATATAACTGAAGTAGAAGATTTTTAGATAATATGACAAATAAGTATTTAATGTACAAGTTCATGTTTACAATTTAACTAATATAGGCCAACAAGTACTTTACATGTGTTATTGCCCCGTGAAGACACAGAGGCGACAAACGGTATCGGGTGGTCAGGCTCGCTGACTTGGTTGATATATGTCATCGTATTCCAAATGCGTGGATCGATGCTCATGATGTCAAACACTGGTTCAGACCCGATTACATACAGACCACCATCATATTGCTGACTACGATAAACACACACAAAAAAAGTTTTATTGTTTCGAATTCTGGACTGAATTGTACAAGTAAAAGATATATGATGAATCAACTTGATACCATTAGAAACTATAATCCAATACTTTTTTTTTACAAGAAATATGTAATTAAACATCCATGATAATTCATTCGACCATGAGTAAACGCTGTGAGCTCTCCTCTAAATATAAACACCTCAAACCGCAATCCTATCTAACACCCACAAAAACACACAAGCCTGTAGCATTATCTTTTTTTCTCGAATTTACAGCTGATCAAAACCCTCCATGGCACATCCACGTTAAAGCCACGCTCTCTACATCGAGATTGAGGGGAGCAGGTGCGTGTTGTAGATTTTGCCATATAAATGCCAGCATATCCTAATTAAGCTCCATATCTATGCGATAAGTACCGCGGTCAATCAACACGGCATGAAAACCACGCGTCACGCTTCATAGAACACTGCGGCTGTTAACTTGGGACCGTTCACTTATATCCTGTTATCAGATGAATAAACTTACGTTGAAAATAATATAAGTAGTTTGGAACCTCATTCATCGAACATCTTTTTGTTGCTGAAAACGCAATCTCATTAAAATCAGATCTAAACAAAGCGGTAGCGAGGACTGAGGTCTGATTTTAATGAGATTGCTGAAAACGCGATTACACGCGATACCGATAAGAACAAACTCCTTTCACTGTATACAATATTTGCCATGTTTATCAGGAAACTCGTTTGTGTGAATGTTTTGTAGTTTAGTTTATATAGATAATGTTCAGTGATTTGTTCAGGATCACACAACAACAACATTGCAAACAATAACGATAATGTTGTTTGTTTGTTGTTTAACGCCCTGAACACAACGATATTCCAGCTATATGACGGCAGTCTGTAAATAATTGAGTCTGGACCAGACAATCCCGTGTTTGATATCATGAGCATCAATCTACGCAATTGGGGTACGAGGATATGCATCAACCAAGTCAGCGAGCCTGACCACCCGACCCCTAGACAAACATATTGTCCATGAAACCTTATATTACGCAATACACTTCTCTCCTCTAAAAGAATAACAAATATTAGAGCTAGCTTGAGCTAGACTTGTTTTTTTTTGTGTGTGTATATATATATATATATGGTGCAGGACTACCCGACCCCGTTAATCGCCTATTAAAACAAGCATGGGTTGCTGAAGATCAATTCTTACTCGCATCACCACGGGTTATGATGACGTTGATGATGATGATGATGATGATGATGATGATGATGATTATGATGATGACGATGATGATGATAAGAAGAATAACCAATTACGGATTATCTTTCCCGATTGAATGAATGGTGTGGTCTTTCGTCGAGCTTCGAAAAACTCATTCTATATATTATTTATTGTCGTTTTAAGAAAGAAAGTGAAGACAACTGTGCGTTACCCACAGGACCACAACCCTATCGAGTTTTAGGTACTCTCAGCATACACTGGCACAGCTCTTTGATAAGAAAATGAGTGATGGGGAGTGGGTTTGCACTTAAAACAACAAAGAACAATTTGCGTTTGTTAGCCAAACATCAGTCAAATAATTGCTACACTTATTTAACACATTTAATTATACGATTTTTATATGTCAAGATATAAGTATGAATAAAGAATAATAATATTATATTAAAGTTTCACGAGTTGTACATTAAATATTACAGAAAGTAGGCATGTGGTGTACAATACCGGCCTATGAGACACAAATTGCATACAAATATTAAAATACATTTAAATATATTGCCAAATGTTACACTGATAATATATAAAAGCCACTAAATGTGGCATCGCCATAATGATAGCAAAATACAGATAAAAGAGAGAAAAAAGAAATAAGACTACCTGACTGACAGAAAGAAAGAAAGAAGAAAAAAAGGTGTGTGCGCACCTCTACATCACCACCACCCCACCCCACCCCACCCCACCCCACCCCACCCCATCCCCTCCCCATCTGGATCCGCGTATGGTCTAGACGGGTCTGTTCTGTGGAACATTGTGCTTTTTTAAGTACCCATTTTGGCCAAGGTTCACAAAGATTCATTGCTGAATTCTAGCCACTGGGCCTAAATTCGAAAAATGTCCCGGTACACATATATTTGACCTGCTCAACCACCAGTGCAGTGCGAGAGGTCCTGGGGAGAGGTTATTGTCATTATGAGTATGGGTTTACGCCGCTTTTAGCAATATATTCAGTAATATCGCGGCGGGGACATTGTACCCATGTCGGGAATCGAACCCGGGTCTTCGGCATGAACGCTTTAACCACTATACTCCCCGACCGCCCGTATTGTCATTAAAACATAGTAACTGGTTTAATGCCCCTCTCCCCTTTACCGCTCTTTATCATTGGCGAAATGTAACTAACAAATTTGCTACAACACATGCTTGTGAACAATGATAATGATAGAACGTAAGGATCACATTACGAATTCGGATGCAGTTATAGGATAATAAATTATACAAAACACTAATTTCGTCGGAGTTTTGAGACGAATCTGATGTGAAACATAACAATTGTTCATGTGGTTTAACGATACAATATCGCCAAAAGATATACATAAATGAAGATGTGTATAGACATATGATACCAGCGGGGCTAAGCAGCTGGTGATAATGGTTTCTATCTTCACAGTAATATCAGGTGTATCACAATCGGCATTTTCCCACAATTATACATGATGCGAGTCTAAAGTGACAACACGTACTCTAAAGGCTAAAATATCAACACGATGAATTATTATCTGCAATATATTCATCAGTCTTTTAGTCTGTCTCACAGTCCCTGAACCATGATATTTTCCCTTCCGCCCTGCCTTACTCTAATCCAAAAGCCCTAAATGAAGCAAGTCTAGATTTCCCAAGGTTCACTTCGGGAATCTTCCATCTCACTTGCGCTTTATATTTCAATTTAAGTGAAATTATTTGCATCTATCAGTATTATATATTTTCAGAGACTAAGTGTTAGTCAAATAGGTCTCTATGCAAAATTATATACCATTTATGATGTTTATACGACAAGAATCAGAAATTTTGATTAGAATAATGTAATTCTATGTTTTCACCACCCTTCCTTTCTATATGTTTATTCAAATACAATGGTTATAAACTGCACCTGAAAATTGGATTTGACCAAACACTTTCAATAGTTATCAAGACGTAACTAGGTTGAAAATAGTCGCCGAAACACTGCAAAATTAAGGTTCAAAACACAACTATGATACCCGTATCAAATAGATCACCATGGAATAACCGTTTCTTGTTTGCTTCATTTCGAACGCACCTGTGAAGATCCGGATTAGAATAGGTCTTCAGCAACATACTTGTCATAAGAGGCGACTATGCTTGTTGTTAGAGCGACTGACGGGATCGGGTGGTCAGGCTCGCTGACTTGGTTGATGCATGTCATCGTATCCCAGTTGTGTAGATCGCTGCTCATGATGTCGACCACTGGATTGTCTGGTCCAGATTCGATTATTTACAGACCGCCGTCTTATAGCTGGATTATTGCTAAATGCGGCGTTAAAGAGCAAACAAATAGAACATTTCAAACACTGGTACATATTATCCTTTCGCACTGTCGTTTTTATGTCCACATTTGAATGTCTTGGCATTTAGGCGTTAGCCCATGCATAGAGTTAGGAGGGATGTGTTTTCAACAGACCGCCGTCATACAGATAGAATATTGCGGCGTTGAACAATTTGTTTGCTAATCCTTTTTCCATTTTGTAACGTTATGTAATGTAAAATCTGAACATTAATGGAAATAAAATACTGTTTAAATCAAATAAAGAGTCTTCCCCACTTCTAGTTGAGTAGGGACAATGGGTACAGGCTATACATCGTGTATATAGAATTGAGACGTTGAAATTCATACATTTCGTGCCAGTGGCTATACAGTATGCATCGACACAGTATCAAACTGGACGATACACAGTATTACATAAACGAGGAGCTTCACCTTTATCGACGCATATCGTTTTAACTTTAATGTAATGTCTAACCACCAAATTACCATCAAACTGTTGACCTTAGATTTATCCTTAAACGCCCATGCCATGGGATGTCTGTACTTATATATAGGCCTTGTCTCAAACAACGTGAAAATTTGAGCTTATTTGACATAAAATATGAATTAAGGAATACAAATCAGCTTTTGTTATATGGAAACTAGAACACTGTATTGATGATACGTATCGTGAGATAAAGTACAGCAGTAAGTACATTAGAGTCATTCACTAACACACACACACACACACACACACACACACACCCACCGTCCCGCCCGATTCCCATTTCACTCGGCTAGTGCTGGCAGTTGGGTCTTATATTCTGACCCGGAATGCCCACTGGGCAATGAACGGTGTGTCAAATGCCATGATTTGTCTTATATATATATAACGCATTTAAACTGCTT